GTCACAGAGCTAGTGAGTGACTAAAATCAGATCCATCAGACTCCAGAACTTATGATCTTTGCATTTTGTCCTCTGTCTCTCAAATTACTGACACGTATAAAGGCCACAGGTGGTTAAGACCCAGACAGTCCAGCTAAGCTGTCTTAAGTCCCAGTCCAGCTGTACTCATTTATGTGACCTTGAACAAATCAGTTAGTCTCAATGAGTCTCAGTTTCCTCACCTACAAGATGACAAGAATAATAGTAGAGTAAAATCCTGAGATAATCCATGTAAATTACAGCGTGATAAACACTCAATAAACTTTGGATATTTTTATTGTCACTTACACCACCACTACCTCCAGCCCACTCTGTCAGGTTCTGCGCTCAGCATTTAATATGCATTAGCTTTTCAGTATCCCTGCAAGACAGGTGTTAGATCCCCATTTACACAAGGGAAACAGTCTCAGAGGGGTTAAGGCTCTTGCCCGAGTTGAACCCAAGTCTGTATAGTTCCAACACCTATTTGCTTTCTACCCATATAATGACTGTAAATTCCTTTTCTATATATATATATATATATATATATATATATATATATATATTTTTTTTTGGTTTATAGTTGATTTACAATGTTGTGTTAGATTCTGCTGTACAGCAAAGTGAATCAGTTATACATATATTAGATTTTTTTTCCCATATAGGTCGTTACAGAGTATTGAGCAGAGTTCCCTGTGGCCTCTCCCGTTGCAGAGCACAGGCTCCGGACGCGCAGGCTCAGCAGCCATGGCTCACGGGCCCAGCCGCTCCGCGGCATGTGTGATCTTCCTGGACCGGGGCACGAACCCGTGTCCCCTGCATCGGCAGGCAGACTCTCAACCACTGCGCTGCCAGGAAAGCCCCAGAATCATATTTTTATTTTACAATCTTACTCCCCGGTAGCTTCCAGAAGGCTTAGAGCCTTCCTTGTAACTTTTATTTCTAAGGCAGTCCTGACTAAGTTAGAATTCGTTTGTAAGTTTGAAAAGAATTAATGGGGCACTTGGGGCACAGAATAAATCCCTCCCCTTTTGTGTTAAGTTGGAAAGTCTCTGTGAAATGAGATTATTCCAGACACATGGTAGAGCTCCATAAATCCATTGCTCAGAGATTACATGAGCTCATGCTTCCATCGTTCAGTAGAGGTGTTTGTACAGTGATTCTTCTCAACAGAATGAAGGAAACTTCATGGGATTCTCTTGAAGTCATCCCTTCCAAACAAAATAGGATTGGAACAACCAGCAAAACTGTGAAGCATTTGGATTCTCATCAGAATTCAACTCAAGCTTTTTTCACAGACCCATCTTTTGGCCTGGCTGAGAAGGTGGCCAGGCAGGCAGTGAGCAACCTTTTAACAACTTGCATGTATTCAAGTTTCAGAGTTAAAGGAACAAAAGTAATTTGGGGAGTGATTGCCCAGACTCCTTAGTGAAAGTCTGTGTCTTCTGTTCTGACTTGGTCTGATTTGTAGAGGTGCCCTTGTGCCTGGGAAAACCATGTGTAATAATAGTGGTGACAATCCCGTGTCTGGCACTCCACATTTCGCAGCAGGCCCCACTTGCACATTAGTGCATTTGATCTCAAGAATAGCCCTTCGGAGTTCTTCAAAAGCCTGGGCCTGGCTCACACTGAGACCCAGAGAGCTGGCCTTCAGGACTATAGCTCTGGCCCATGGTGAAAATCTCCATCTCCTAGAACTGATTCTAGTATGCTCCAGTAGCTTTCCTTTTAGAGAAAACAGCCAATGAGCAGAATGTAATTCTCATGTGTTCCCGTGTCTCCTCCCGTTTGCCTGTGTATAAACACTGTTTTGGAAGCAATTTTCCACGCATCTGTCTAAATCCATGGTCCTTCCTCACGACTCACTCTTCTTTGTTTCTCCCGCATCTACTACAGTTTTTAGGAAAGAAGAAATGCTCACATTTCTGGTGACAGTTGAAATGAAAATGCATATGCATTATCTTTCTTCACATTGTGGTTGAGTGAGGATCTCATTCTCAGTAGCTCTTTAGGAAAAGAGACAAACTAACACAACATTGTAAAGAAACTATACTCAAATAAAAAGTATTAAAAGAAAATAAGAGAAAAGAAACGAAAAAGAAAAAAAAAAGGAAAAGAGAGACAAAATTTGGAGGCCAGACATAAGGAGGTGGGGACCTATCAGTGTGTCTGAATTCATTTTCAGATGTTTTTTAGCTCGGATTGCCGAACATGCTGTACTTAAGGCCAGAGGCAGAAGGGTGCTAAGGGATATCATTGTTGAAATCTGTACTTGTGGGTTTGGGCACTGGCTTCTGTAGTGTAGATTAGCTGGAGAAGATGAGCTGAATGCTGAGGACTGCTGCAGAGGTGGGGAGTGGAGATGTTAGAAACTGCAGCCCTAGGGTCCCATCCCAGCCCCTCTCCTGCTAAGCCGTGTGGCATTCGGAAATCTCTCCTTGTGGAATGGTCATCCTGCTTAGTACCTTTGACTTAGAGGTAAGTCATGTAAAGTACCTTGCACAGTGGCTGGCAGGGGCAAACACTCCTATATAAGAGCAAGTGCCAGTGGTAATGGTGCACGGGGTGTCACTTAGGAGCAGCCCTGGCTCAGCATTGTTGGAGGACAGAACAAAGGGGGAGAGAGCTTCTGAGAAGCTTAGTGGTCCTTGAGCTCAACAACAACCATAATTTCTCTTTTTTTCCCTTGAAGATGCTCAGAAGGAGCCTGGCGACATGTGTAACACTGGTACTTATTTTTAGGGGTTCCAACTCCTCTGGAAGCCAGACGGTGTTTTTTTTTGTTTGTTTGTTTGTTTGTTTGTTTGCGGTACGCGGGCCTCTCACTGTTGTGGCCTCTCCCGTTGCGGAGCACAGGCTCCAGACGCGCAGGCTCAGCGGCCATGGCTCACGGGCCCAGCCGCCCCGCGGCATGTGGGATCCTCCTGGACCGGGGCACAAACCCGTGTCCCCTGCATCGGCAGGCAGACTCTCAACCACTACGCCACCTGGGAAGACCAGCCAGAAGGTTTTTGTTGTTTTTGTTTTAGGTCCCCTTCTCTCCTTACATCCTCTCCCCAGTTAAACTCAGCTATGTAGTGATTCAATTTATTTTGTTGAAAATTCAGTCCCCTAGGGAAAACATGATAATGCTGTTTTCAGACAGCTGTGTTTGGGAGCAAGACTGACTGAACCAGCTGGCTGGCATCATTGGAGCTCAGGGACCTGCCAACTCATGGAGAGCAGCTGTTTGGGCTGAAATTCTTATCATTCTTATGACTTTGCTTCCTATATCTCAGCTTCTGAGTTCTGCTTTTAAATGCACGCACAAAGGAGAGAAAGCCATGAGAAAGACTGATGTGTCTAGGGCCACCCATAGGTGAGGGGAGTGGAGGTGCCACCACTGTGCTCTCATTACTCGTGATTGTTGGGAAAGAGAAAATCCAGAAGGAGGCCAGCTCCAGAGAGTAAGAGATGATAATGAGTGGATCAATGAATATTGATATCTTAATACAGTGGGTGTGTTATGCAACCAGGAAGAATCAGGTATGAAGATTTTCTTCATGAAGGGCGAAATGTTACAATATAGTGTTAGAGAAAGCGTATAGGATACAAAACTGTATAAAGAATAGAATTCCGATTATGGAGAAGTGTGTTTTAACATTAAATGAGATAACTCATACAAAGCACTTGACGTGGTAGATACTCAGTAAATCACAGCTACTAGATGCAAATTCTCTAACCACAGGAGACGTGTTGGCCTCAAGCACTGTTGTACCCAGAGTGCCTGGTATAAAGGAGATGCTGAAAAGATCTTTCTAGATTGAATGAATTAGTGTTGTTGTTATTATACGCATTTTAAAAGGAATTGAGAAAATCTAGGGACATAGGTTTCTGTGTTATCATCTGTAAGTGTATCTATAATCGTGGCAGCTTAACCTCTCTGCCTCAGTCCTTCATTATAAATGGTGAGGACAGTACTTGAAGTTCAAGGTCACTCAGAACTGAGTGAGCTACATGGAAAATACACGCAGTGACTGGTCCCTAGGGAGCCGACCTTGCATGGCAGTGACTGTAATCATGGTAAGCGCCATGTAAGTGGTAGCTATTATGATAATTCTATTGTACTTGGATCTGTAGGAAAAAAGATGAGCATTGTCATGATTTTTATGTCATTTTCTTCTCAGTTTTTACCATAGACTTTTTTTTTTTTTTTTTTTTTTTGCAATGAAAGCTTAAAAGAAAAAACCTCGTATGAAAATGAAACTCAAATGCTAACAGTGGTTACCTCTAAATAGTGGAATTGGGAGAATTTTTCTATTTTCTTCTTGATGCTTTTCTACATTTTCCACACTGTTTGTAGTATGTATGTTACTTCTATCATCAAGATTTGGGGGAAACAACCTTTTTTAAATAAGAAAAAGAATGCTCAGCATCAAAGATAACACAAAGCTGCTGAACTAGATGCTCCATCTGGGGATGATTGAGGACTAGAAGATGCTGCCCTGTTCTGGGCTTCTTTTGGGGGATGTTATTTAAGTGCATGTTTCACAGCCTCAGAAAGTTGTGAAGCAGTTGTTAAGAACTGGGAAACAGAACCAATGAGGAAAAGTAAAGTAGTTTTAGTTCATCCGTTCTGGACAAAGGTGGTCAAAAAACTTTAAGCCCTCTTTGCAGACAGTGGCTTACATTTAGCACAGCAGCTTTCCATTGGCTCCGGAGAGAGAAAAACAAAAAGCAGATCTGTGGAAATGATAGCAGAAGGGGTGAGAAGTGGAAGTGAATGGTTCCCGAACCTTGGGATGCGCTTCCAAAGGAGGATGTTTCATGCCAGTTCCTAGAGATGTGTAAAGTAGAGTCCTGAGCAAATCCTGGTGGTCTTTTTCAGTCTTTTTCTTGCTGATTCTTCGACTCCATCAAGCTCTTCGGTCGTCGTTGTCTGGACCTGCGCTGTCTCCCCAGTTCACAGTAGCGTGTAACCTTTTTATGAAACTGTTTTGCAGATATTTAACACCGTGCCTGACGCGCCCCTCACCAATGCCCAGCTGCACCTGTCTCGGAAGAAGAGCAGTGACTCCAAGCCCCCATCCTGCAGCGAGAGGCCCCTGACGCCCTTCCACGCCATGCAGTCAACAGAGAAACGTGAGTGCCACTACTCAGGGCCAGCGTGGTCCCCGGGGGACATCCAGGCCTCCTCCCAGCTGCCCGGGCTGCTCACCTCCAGCCTCTCTGTGTGCGTTGCTGCCTTTTGTGTCCTTGAGGACACTGTCAGCCATTGTACCCTCCCGGGTTCCGCGGCTCAGTAACCTCAACAGGACAGGAAGCAGGGGTGCTGAGGATGAAAGGGAGAGCCATGCTGCCCAGGATCCTCTTTCCCAGTCCCCTGTGGGCAGACAGCTGAGCCCCTTTTCCGCCAGCTGCACGATCAGATCTAAGCTCAGGCGTTGCTTCTTCGGCCCGTCTTTTGTTAGTGGCTCCCCTAGAACCAGTTTCCCTTCCTTTTCTCGGGTTGTAACTCAGTGCTTATTTGTGCGAGTCACACCCCCCACTGAAATGGGGCTCTCTCTGCACAGGGACCTTGTTTGGCTTGCTCGTCCTTCCCCTCCACCTCTCCTGGGCCTGACACATAGTGGATGCTTAGTAAATGTGTGGAATTAATTCACGGATTAATAGGAGAGCATTGCCCTCCTTGTTCCAAGTAGCAGAGTGTTCTCACCACAACTGTATCGAATCTTGTTTTCACCTCTGGATTTCTGAGTTCTTTGCAGCAGTTGGGTTACTGGGCCCTCAAATCTCCAGTCTGGTTTCAGCCTTTGTAATGAGGGAGTCCAGTGGTGGAGGGTGGGAGTCGAGGGTCCCAGCTGTGCCCGAAGGCAGGCAGCCCTGGGTCCCTGTGCCGGCGACAGCATTCAGGCAAGCCTCCTACCTTCTCTCAGCCTCAGTTTGCTTGTCTGTAAAGTAGGGATAATAGGGCCTACCTCACAGGGAAATGGATTCAATGAACTTATGCAGCTAAGCAGCTGGCACAGGCCTAGACATGGCAACGGCCATCGACTGAGAGCTGCTGCTACTATTATTAGTTCCTGTTTAATCACACGCAGACACCAAGGAGTATAAAAACAAGACCTCGTCTGTAAGGAGCTCACATTTGAGTAAAGGAAGTAGACAAGTGAATAGGTAATGGTAAGTCGGCAGGATAATTCAGGGAGCCAGGAGAACGCGGTGGTTGAAAGCACTCATGGGCACCAGGCGCCTGGGTGAGAGTCCTCCTTGGCTGCTCTCTGGCTGTGTGACGTGGGCCAGTTACCTGCCATTGCATAGCCTCAGTCTCCTCTTCTGGAAAACGGGGATAACAGTTTCCTTATAGGCTTGTTGTGAGGAATAAAGCGCTTCAAATGGTTCTCAGTAAATGCTGGGAGGTGTGGCGGTGGTATTATTATTATATACTATACTTATTATATTTTTTACGTATTTATATGTTTATTTTTATATATTTATATAAATATTGTATATATTATATATATATATATATATATAATATTCTCTATGAGTTACAGTAAAGGCGCAAATCAGAAAAATGACCCACTTTGCTTTGAAGAAAAAAGAGACTCCATATCTGGATTGGCAGCTCTCTCTTTGTTTTTTATCCCTTTGTCGTTCAGAAGTAATGGCCTTCCTTATCATTACTCCTGAACACAAATCTTCCCCACCCTCGGAGGATCACTGCTTTTAAAGAGGTCGTCATATCCCATAATATGGCTGCACGTTGGTGCAACCACTGAGGTTGTTTCAGATATGTTGCTTTTATGAGTAAAGCCACTATAATCATCCTCATAGCTAAATCTGTTCATATCCATGATTATTTCCTTATGATCAATTCCTGGAAGAATTTCTAGGTCAGCAGATATGCACAGTTTTAGGGCTTTGACCCGTACTGGGATTGGCTTCCCATTGAACAGTAGCCTGTGTTCCCCTTAAGTATCTGGCTGGGGTCGTTCTTGCTGTGGTCTGTAACAAAGAACACTTGGAACAGGCCTGGCCTCACCCACATCTGCCACAAACACAGCATCGAGCTGTGGGGTGAGATGCTTCTCATGTTTCCACGACAGCCACAGTCACCTAAGGTTTTGTACTAAGCAATGTACAGTGCAGATCAGGACAGATCAGACGATATTGGTAAATTCTTCTAAGCTTGAAATAGTGCCGAGTTTATGGTTAGATGGAAACAGAGGCAGCTCTGGATCAGGTCTTAAAGCATATTCTGGGAGCATGTAAGAAGGAAGATGGCGATTAAGAGAAAATCAATTAGATCCTTGCCCAAGATTAATTTTATCATATGAGGCAGCAGGTGAAAGTTAAGGATGTGTGAAAGCAGACGTGCCTAAGCTGCAGATCAAGCCGTCCCTGTCTGCACACAGGGGACAGGAGGATGGGAGACGGGAAGACAGTGAAGCACTACATCTTGCCTCTGAACACGAGGAGACGCTCCCTGGAAATGGGGCTGGAATCTCCATATGTGCAGATATTTGTGGGGTGCTCAACTTTCCTCCCTTTCTGTGCAGAAACATTTTCATTGAAAAGCACATAGGGGTGTGTGTATACATATACTTTTTAGAGTTGATTTTAGAAACCCTTATTTTCCTGGGAAATTAGAGTAGTATCCAGGCTGGCCTGGAAAGGCACCATAGGAGCAAGGAGCTGGAAGGTTCTGCCAGCTCTTGCCCCTCCTAGGTTGCGGTGCAGCCACTTGCCACCGTTAGATGAGCAGGTCACAGTGTACTGTTTTCACACACAAACCCTCCCCTTTGGTCTATGGACAAAGATAGAAGACTATCAAAGCACTTCACTGAGTTTACTCTTTGGAGTTAAAATGCTGGGGAAGACTGCAGGTAATTTGTGGGGGGAAAAAAGTGCTGTATTTCCATACAGTGATGTTTTTCAGATTAAGGCCTCTTTCCATACCTAGCTCGGTACTTCCCAGACTTGAATCATTTACATAGGCCTTCATTCACTCTTTGGGCTACAACCACCTAACTTTTGCACTGTTGTTTGTTTAATATATTTATATAAATCAATTTGAAAGCAGCTCACTTCTTTACACAGCCTCATCCTACTCAGTAAAATTTCTACAATGTGAATTTTGTTGTCTTACTGTATTACTCTCTAATATACATTAAAATAAATATGAAACTGTTCAGCTAAAAAATGTTCATCCACATTTGACCTTAGAATTGTTGTGTGTCCACCTGTGGAGTACGTACCACAGTTTGGAGTCCACAGAGCTTTGCTCTAAATTTCTGACTGGCTCAGATCCTTCTTCTTAACCTAAACACACAAACTCAAGATTCTTTTGTCTGCTCAACTGGAACTGGGTTCAGATGTTGTCCGTTAGCTGTTTATATCACTGTGGACACTCGCCATTCACCTGTCGATTTCACGTTGTGCACTCTGGGTTCGTTGTGGCACCTCTCCAGGTTTCACATGACCTTACCTTTCTTCAGATTCTTGCCACAGAGTAGATACCTTGTTACAGGGATCACACCTGTGAGAACACACACACACGCAAACACGTACACCTACACAATATCTCCACGTACCTCTCTTCTACCTTCAGACTTCATATGATACTCTCAGAACCTCATTTCCTATTATGTCTGTGTGCCTACTCTCTTTTGAGTTCAGTTATGTTTTTCCTCCTCATTGGCATACTTGCAGTTTAATATTTGTTCTGTGATCCATGGGTCAGCCCTCTCTTCAGCCCCTAGTTGACATATTTGATGAGCCCAAAACTCCCAGAGTAGTTCCCTTGGGTGCTTCCCACCAGCACACGTTTTTCCCTTCACCTCGCTGCAGTGCCCCTGCCCTGTGCAGAAGTTGGAGCCCATTCTTATCTCTTAGAAGTGAATCTGTGCCAACACTCTGGCCTCAGGTTATCATGGAAGTATCTGGCATGTTAGTTGACGCTCACTGATGTGTGTTTTATTTTCCAAAAGGAGTTTTCCATTCTGTGTGGGTAGACCAGTTGTATGCCCAGGCACCTCTGTAAGACTCGTCCACTTTAATCTGAGAGTGGTAGTGGAGTCTCCTCCAGGTGGCTTTTTCCTTTTCCCAGTGTTATCTCATCTCATCCTTATAATCGGTAATCACCCCCATGAGGTAGGTTCTCATCATCCACATTTTACAAAGAAGTAAACCAGGGCTCGAAGGGTTAAGCAGTCACACAGCTGGCGAACGGCAGAGAAGGGATTTGTACCCAAGTCATGCCCCTTCCCCATGCCGTGTTGTCACTTCTTGAGCTGCCGAAGTGAAAATCTTGCTAGACTGAGTTAAGGAAGCAATAAAAACCATCTGTCCCAGAGTCCCGCATTGCCACGGAGGCAGTTGAACCATATTGAATGGGTTCCTCAGTACGTGTGGTGGCAAGCAGCAGCCACACGATGACCACCCCCCCATGTCACCCCAGCTCTGCAGCGAGCAGTGTGCATTCAACAGTCACTTAATATGCTGGGCCAAGGCAGTCACTCTCGTTTGTGATCACTTTCGAACAGATGGAAGGAGGTTTTTCAACTGTGCTGCCAGATGAATGGTAGCAAAGGAGATTACTGTTTAATCTCCAAGTTAACACGCAGATACATCATGCGGCAGAGATTGGACTGGTATGTCTAGGTGAAAGCTATACTTTTTCCAGGCAACTGCAGAAGGTAACCAAGCACCCAGGTCTTGTACTTCTTAAGATTGCTTCCAAAAGGTTGCAGGGTGACACGTGTCACTTATTTTGTCCCGAATTTTTAGTGCTTAACACAGGCATACCTCTTTTTATTGCACTTTGCTTTATTGCACTTCGCAGATACTGTGCTTTCCACAAATTGAAGGTTTGTGGCAACACTGCGATGTCAGATGATGGTTAGCTTTTTTTGGCAATAAAGTTTTTTGTAATTAAAGTGTGTATATTGTTGTTTTAGACATAGTGCTATTACATACTTAATAGCCAACAGTGTAGGGTGAACATAACTTTTATATGCACTGGGAAACCCAAAAATTCATGTGACTTGCCTTATTGCAATATTTACTTTATTGCAGTGGTCTGGAACCAAACCCAAAATATCTCCAAAGTATACCTGTCCCAAGGTGTTAAAATATGT